TATGTATAACTTATTTGACTTTCTGAACAATTAATCGTGCATACCTGGACAGGCAACGCAACTTTTTTGGCAATTGCGCAGCATATATTGTGGATTGTATGTGCATTCACCTCTTAATGCCCAGTAGAAGCATAGTATGTTTTTATCGTAACAACCTAACAGAAAAAAAAGGAAGGCAATGCAAATATGAGTGTATCAGTTGATGGATCGTAGGAGATTTCATCAGCATTTCTGTTCAAGTCACCTTTCCCAGAATCTGGACGTCTTCATGCCAAGGCAACTTTCTGCAGGCTTTCGCAGAAGGAGTAAAGAGCGAATACTTTTTTCGAAGAATAAACACTGTAATTCAAATGTCAGGGAATGCCTACAGGTCCATAGAAATTGGCAGATGAACAAAAATGTCAATATTTAAAAAAAAAGCATTAAATGGACCTATTCTCACCTAATTTTATAACGCTTTTTTTTAACATGTTTGACTTACTGAACAGTTACTCGTACATACCTTTACCAAGACATGCATAACAACTTTTGCAACAATTGCGCAGCATATACTGTGGATTTTTTATGCATTCGTCGTTTAATGCCCGGTTTGCACATTGGCTGTTTTCATCCTCACAAGCTGACGGAAAAAAGGAAAGCAATGTAAACATAAGTGCATGGCTGAATCTTATCAGATTTCATCAGCATTTCTGTTTAAGTCACATTCCTAAAATTAGGACCTTTTCATGCCTGGTCACCCGCCAGCCGGACTTATTTCCTCTCAAAATTTCGCCTCCTCGCTAGTTTCCTTGTGAAGTAGTTCTCATGTAATTATATTTGAGAGTAAGAGCCGTATTCAACCCGACCAATGGAGTGAAACTTGTACTCATGCGCTTGAAATTTCAGGTAATCGGGAGTAATTTATTTGGGAGGAATAGCTCTTTGGCTTGGCCATGTAAAGGCAGTCTACGAGCAGACCATCATCATATGCGCTTTCGGTGTTTCTTCGCCGGCGGGAAGAATTGAGGCGTGCCAAGAAAGAGTGGGCGGGAGATTGGCACTAATGACATCAGAGATAGACCCATTGCATACCTCACGCAGACTCGCGTTGCTCCACGTTCTATGCTCTCCCGTGGGTGGGAAAACGTAGATGAAATCAAATTGCAGTTGAACAAATTAATTTAATGCTGAAGTCGCATATTGGTTACAAAGGAAACAGTCGATTATGTACAGGTGACTGACAGGGGAGGGGTTAAAATGCTTTTGTCAGGGATGAATAAAATGTAAGCATTTAAGAAGAATTTTAAAACATTATGTATAACCTATTTTATTTTCTGAACTATTACTCCTGCATACCTTGACAGGCATTGCAACTTTTGCGGCATATGCGCAGCATATATTGTGGGTTTTTTGTGCATAAACCGTGTAATCCCCAGAATTTACATAGGTAGTTTTTATCCTTACAAGCTGAAAGAAAAAATGGAAAGTAGTGTAAATATAAGTGCATCGGCGAATTTCATCAGATTTCAGCAGCATTTCTGTCTAAGTCTTATTCCCCCCAAATCAAGTCTCCTAATAACCAATTTGCCTTAACTTATAGATTAAAGGTTCTTTAGCTTGGCCATGCAAAGGTAGCTTACCAGGAGACCACCATCATATGCACTGTGGGACGTGCGATTTTCTGCCGGCGGCATCCCTCGCTTCTCGTGATCTCGTACCCAGGTCCCACCGTGTAGCTATAACTTAATTGTAGGAAGGTCTGGGTACTTGACTACGCTCTTCGTTTACCTCTCTCCCCCCACTCACAATCAGTCAGGGTATTGGTTAGGCTGTCCACCAGTTATGCCAGCATAGTTTTGAGCACGATAGTGAGGCAAAAGATTATGGGGTAGGGAGGGGGGAGGGTGAAAAGAGCTAATGCTTTTTTCGAAGAATACACTCCGTAATTGTAATGTCAGGGAATACTCATTGGTCCATATAAAAGTGGCAAATGAATCAAAATGTAAGCATTAAAAACAAACAAAAAAAGCATTAAATAGACCTATTATCATCCAATTTTAAAAACGTTATGTACAACCCATTTGATTCTCTGAACAAGTACTCTTACATACCTGGAGTGGCATGGCAACTTCTGCAACAATAATACAGCATATACCCTGGATTTTTGTAGCATTCACCTCTTGATGCCCAGTATGCACATTGGCGGTTTAAATCCTCACAATCTGACAGACAGAAAAGGAAAGGAATGTAAATATATAAGTGCATTGCTGAATCATATGAGATTTCATCAGCATTTCTGTGAATCAGGACCTTTTCCAAACCTGGTCACCCGTCTGCCGGACTTATTTTTTTCAAAACTTCGTCTCCCCGCTCGTTAACCCTATGAATAAATTCCCATGTACTTATTTGAGAGGAAGAGCTATATTCAACCGGGCCAACGGAGTAAATCTTGTGAGAATAAGCTTGAGCATTTAAGGTGACCGGGA